GAGGAGCTGATGCCAGGGGCTTAAGTGGAGAGCAGGTGTTTTGAGAATGATGAGGGTAATGAATGTACAAATGCGCTTTACACAATAGATCTATGGATGGATTGTGATAAGAGTTGTATGAGCCCCCAATAAAGTGATTTTTAAAAATTGGAAAATAGAATCTAATTCCTTCCCTGAAAAGAATTGAAAGATAATGTTTTCAACCTATTTTATCTGTTAAAGAGGCTTGGTATATCTGGTGGACTTTTAATGTTTTACGTGGTAATTTTTTTTAATGTGAGATGGGAGGAAGAGATTTAAGAATTAAAAATGTATCTGAAAACTGAAGGAAAAAAAGAAAGCCGATGTTTTGAGGATGACGATGGCAGCAAATGTACAAATGTGCTCCACACAATGGATGGATGGATGGATTGTGATAAGCGTTGTACGAGCCCCCAGTAAAATGGTTTAATTTAAAAAAGGTAATTAACAACCAAAAAAAGAAAAGAAAGGCAAGCCTCGATTGTAACATGGGCACAGAACAAGATTAGTTTCCACATCGTCAGAATTTCATTGTACAGTCTCTAGGTGGCAGTACAACCACACCAGCTACCGAGGCTTTTCTGACCACAAGTCTGGCTAGACCAGAGGATGTACACCGGTACAGATAGGAATTGGAAACACAGGGAATCCAGGGCGGATGATCCCTTCAGGACCAGTGGTGGGAGTGGCGATCCTGGGAGTGTAGACAGAGAGTGGTTTGGAAAGGGGGAACTGATTACAAGGATCTACACGTGACCTCCTCCCTGGGGGACGGGCAACAGAAAAGTGGGTGAAGGGAGACGTCGGACAGGGCAAGATATGACAAAATAACAATTTATAAACTATCAAGGGCTCATGAGGGAAGAGGGAGCGGGGAGGGAGGGGGAAAATGAGGACCTAATGCCGGGGGCTTAAGTGGAGAGGAAATGTTTTGAGAACGATGAGGGCAATGAATGTACAAATGCGCTTTACACAATTGATGTGTGTATGGATTGTGATAAGAGTTGTATGAGCTCCTAATAAAATGATTAAAAAAAAAAGATAACATAGTCTTTGGTGAAACAAACCTGATGAGACAAATGCTGTGTCCTCTTCCTCTGGTGGTCCATCACCCACGTTCTCCTTACTGTTCAGTTCAGCTTCTTCAGCCGCAGCCTGAAAAAAGAGGTTTTTCTCCCTTGAATTAAAATTCCTTTAAATAAATGTAGAACCCTTTACAGAAGGACTCTAAAAAAGGTAAACATTTTATACTTTGGTGTAAATATTTAGGCCCACCTACTGGATTTCACATATAGACGAATGCTTAAAATGCTGCTAACAGATTGATTCTGACTCCTAGGGGCCAAGAGAGTGTTTCTGAGGCTGTGATCTTTCCTGGGCAGGTGCTCCCAAAGGGCACGCTGGTCAGTTCCACCTGCTGGCCTTGAGCGTGGCGTTGTAGTGCTTACCCAGCAGCACCACCACTGTGCCTTAAAACGCACGTCCTCTAAAATCTATGGAATTAATCAAGCGGCCATCTAGCTCAGAAGCAACAAAGCCCACATGGAAGAAGCACACCAGCCTATGCAACCATGAGGTGTCGAAGGGATCAGGTGTAAGGCATCATCAGAACAAAAAATCTTACCATAGTGAATGATGGGGGGAGTGCAGAGTGGAGATCCAAAGCACATTAGTAGGCCACTGGAGATCCCCTTGCAGAGGGGTCTCGGGGAGGAGATGAGCCAGTCAGGGTGCGATGTAATAATGATGAGAAATACAACCTTCCTCTAGTTCCTAAGGGTTTCCTCCCCGCTCCCACTACCATGACTCGAATTCTATCTTGCAAGTCTGGCTAGACCAGAGGAGGTACACTGGTACAGATAGGAACTGAAAATAAAGGGAATCCAGGACGGATGAGCCCTATAGGACCAGTGGTGTGAGTGGCGAAACAGGGAGGGTAAAGGGAGAATGGGTAGGAAAGAGGGAACCGATTACATGGAACTGTGTGTGACCTCCTCCCTGGGGGACAGACAACCAAAAAGTGGATGAAGGGAGACGTCGGACAGGGCAAGATATGACAAAATACCCATTTATAAACTATCAAGGGCTCATGCGGGAGGGGGGAGCGGGGAGGGAGGGGAAAAATGAGGACCTAATGTCGGGGGTTTAAATGGAGAGAAAATGTTTTGAGAAACGATGTACAAATGCGCTTTACACAATTGATGTGTGTATGGATTGGGATAACAGTTGTATGAGCCCCTAATAAAATGTTAAAAAAATAAAAAATAAAAAATAAATAAGAAAAAAAAAATAAAATCTATGGATTTACTGATTTTCACAAGTGTGTATTTTTTCCCCATAAATTAAAATTTATCTCTCATATGGCCAAATGAAAACCTCTTAAAGTTAATGTATTTGTTGAGACTGTCATTAAATATTTTAAAAAGCAAGAAACTTTATGCCACAAATCTTTCACACTTCTGAAAGATTTCTCAATAGCATCCTGGGGTGGAAATGTTTTTTTTCTTTTTGCCTATCTTATGGAGTATGGTACAGTTTTGAAATCCACATAACAGGATGGGCATTTCCCAATGATGGACAATTATGTATTAAGTTGAAATGTGCCTTTAGAGCCCTAGGCAGAAAGAAGTATACCACTTATTTCATGGGTTTTTATAAATTCTTAATATATCAATAAGACACATACCTTTAAGAGAAGCAATAATATAGACGATATAGCTAAGTAAAACAAAGCCTCTTTATTCTATTTAAGGTTTCATACACACGCGTGCGCGCGCACACACACACACACACACATCGTTAGGACATTCAACACACTGTAAGAAGCATTTAAGGATCAACACCTTAGCATTACAAAAAAGTTGGGTATGGTCATTTAAAGTGCTTTTTCTCCCCTATCTAGAAATGCTAACATATCATAGTATTTTTTTTTTTGACCTTAAGATGTGAAAGACTGGCAGAATACTGATTTTTTTTGCCTTTATTCCTCCAAATGGATTTGATGATAGAAAACTCTGAGGTTGGAAAACCAATCTGCAGTTAAATACTGATGGAGGGCGCTCCTGCGAACACTGGTGTTTCCAATGACGAGAAAAAAATATCTACAGAAACAGGGTCAAAGAGCCCCTCATGCCCCCACGTGAACATCTTTTATTAAGTAGAAGATGTAATTGATTTAGGTTGTACTCTTTTAACTACTGCTAAGAAACAAAAACACCTCTGTTGAGCCCGACCTACCATGGGTTGTAAGACACATCCCGATTTCGTGACAGAGCAATGTGCAAGGTATGCCATTAGAAGTCAAGGGAATAAAAGATTCCATCGAGCCTTTGGAAATATGAAGGGGCTTCCAAAAGTTCATGGAAAAATGGAATCCAAAGGTAAGGAATTCTTCCACGAGCTCCTAAAAGCCCCACTCATAATACGTAAAGCAAAGGAGGCACACGTTTTCAGCACGCTTATAGCCTATGTAGGAGTGTTTTACCATTCCAATGTTACCTACACCTGACCAGTGGACAGTCCACTTCCAGGCTCAAGAATTCTCGTGATTCTGCAAATATTTCTATAGGGCTCAAATATTGAGCTTCTGAGGATGACCCATTTCATTTACTTTAACATGATGCTTTTAAGGGGACATGCTGGCAATGATATGGTAAAATGGTAGTAAACAGAAACCATCACACATCGTTACTAAATTATAGATGACCTCACTTAACCCAAAGCTAGTTTCCAAGGTGTGTAACAATTTTATTCCCTTCATACAAGTGAGCTGGGTCTCCAGGTGGTACAATAGTTAAGGTACTTGGCTAGAAACCCAAAGGCTAGAGGTGGGAGTCTGCCCCAAAGTTCCCATGGCCGAACCACCTGCTGGTCTACTCCCCCAAATGAGCCACTGCCAACCCTGCAGAGTACGGTCCTCGGGGCTGCCTCGAGGACACCGAGGAGAGGACATGACTTGCCCAAGTCTATTCTTCTAGTAGGTGGGGAGTGGGAGATGGGAGCCCCGCTGTGGGTTGGGCATCTCAATGCTCCACCATCCGGCATCTTCATCGTCACCTACCACTTCAGACATCTAAAGTTCTCCATGAGAAGAAGCCGGAATCTCAAAAACCACTCACATCCAGTTGACTTGACTCCTCGTGACACCATATGACAGGGGACAGCTGCCCTTGTGGGTTTCAGAGATTCTTTACGGGAACAGAAAGCCTTGTCTTTCTACCACAGAGGCTACTGGTGCTTTTGAACAGCTGACCTTGCAGTTCGCAGCCCCACACATCACTGCTACTTCACCAGGACTCCTGAAACTATCAAGTCTATTGATGTGCGGTGTCGTGAACTGTTTAGCGTGGCCCTTCTAAGTCATGCGGGGTCTTGTAACTCCCATGCAGTAAGTTAGGCATAGTGGGTTACACACCGGCTGTTGACCGGAAAGTCAGCAGCCAGAAACCATCAGCTGCTCTGTGGGAGAAAAGGAGGCTTTGCACTTCTAGTGAGAGCTACTGTCTTGGACGCCCGGGGGCAGTTCTACTGTGTTCTATAGGGCAGCTTTGAGTTTGGAGGGTCCCGCTGGCAGGGAGTTTGGTTTTGGTTTTTATTGAAACTAAGGTGCTTGTGACTCACTAAAGGGAATGGGCAGCTTGCTCACTACGCAAATGACACCAAGAATTAACACAAGGAAAGAAGAGCCGGGAGTAGAACACGTCTTCCGTGCTCAGGGCCCCTGTGCTGAGAACCCCCTAGACCCAGGAGACAGGGACAGCTGTAACAGCGGAGACAGCAAGAGGCAGTGGCAGCAGAACTAAGAGGCAGGCGCGAAACAGTGCAGTGGGCTTCCTGGGACACAGAACAAGTAGCCGACTCTTGGGGCAAAAGAGGTGAGTGTCTTTGGGCAGGAGTCTTCCGGGTGGAGCAGGGTGTCTCTGGGGACTTAGCTGAGCTAGGCTGGCTATGGAGTGAGACAGATGAGCACTTTGGGGCCCGAGGCTTACTGGAGAATTGGGCTATCCACGGGCACTTACAAGTGGAATGAAAGAACTTGGTAACGCTTGCTCAAGCAAGGCAGAGGCTTGGCTGGCCCAAGAGAGTCGAGGTGCAGAGTGGCCAAGGATGGAGGGGGCAAAGGCCAGGGGGAGACCTGCCCTTGACATAGCTGCAAAGAGGTTGTTCTGACTGAAGAGCTGTGGCGCGGTCCTTCCCTCATAAATTCCCAAGTCATGAGTATTGTCTGTGAGTTCTGGGTGGCCACTGTCCTTGTCACAAATTATCAAACCTAGCAGAGAAGCAGAGACTGCAGGGGGAGGGACTAGCAGAATTAGTCAAATGTTGGAGGGTGGACGCTTATGCACCTTCACTTCATGGGAATCAGCCTTGGCCTGATTGTCTGTTTCCTCCACTTCCTGAGGTCATTGTTTGACAAGACCACACCAATGTTCCTGCAGGCTGGATGTTCCAACAGTCCATTTCTTTTCCCTCTTCAGCCTTTCGCCCACCTCTTCAGCAAAGGGGAACTCCCTGGGACCTTTCAGCACACGAGGCAGCTTAGCTAAGTCTCCATTTCCCAAGGTGGCTCAGGGCCAAACTGCCCACAGCCATTCATCCATCTACAGGTTTTAGATGCAGCCCGGGTTCTGGGGAGATGTCAAGCCTCAGGGGCCCCAGTACAGCGTCTGGCACAGAGCTGACATGCAACCAGTGTCAGGTACACATCGTATGCATTATTTATGGGATGCAAACTCTCAAGCTTAGTTAAAATGCATATGAGTCATACAAACCAGGCCATTACTGGGAAAAATGTTCAGGATCAATGAAGAGAAAAAGCAAGTTACAACACAACATGAATAACATGAGCCCATTAAAAAATGGCTTACATGCACCGAGAGGAAAAAAAGAGAAGGATATGCATAAAAATTCATCACTATTAATTTCAGAGTGCTTGCAATAAGAGGCGGATGATATTTTCTCTACAGTTTTCGAGAGACTTCCATGCATATCCATTTTAAAGCTTTCAGCGCATATACGTTTCAATCAGAGAATTTAAAAATCCTCCAAGTCAATTTAATGAAGGCATGTCTGCCTGCTCCACCTGGAAGGCTTGCTAATTGTGTCTGCCCATCATGCTGACAGAGGGGACAAAGTGAGCATTAGCCATTTTCAGA